TTGCACCAACAGCAGCAATCACACCAGCATTTGCAGCAACACCAACAGCCGCAGGCGCAACCGCAGGCGCAACCGCAACCACAGGTACAGGCACAGCCGCAGCAGCAACAACAGCAACAACAGCAACAACAGCACCAGCAACAGCACCAAGTGGCTACGGCTCCAGTATCAACGCCAACAACGACGACGGCAACGCCAGCAACGGTAGCTGCTCAACCCCATATCAGTGTTGTCGCTACAGAGCCAGCACCGGCCAGTTCTACGTTGAACAATCAAGCCACACCGAGCTTTGGGCTCCCACCCATACCTCCGAACCATCACTCAACGCCGGATCAGGCTCAAGATGTCAAGCTGTTTGAAACGCTCCAGGCTGCAATTGGTGCGACTTCACCTGCTCACGAGAGCCATCCTGCGGCGACTGTGCCGGAAACATCTGCTGGGTAGAATCTAGGCCTTTGGGATGGTAGGCGGTGGAGAGTGGTATAATTGAATTGGGGAAGCTTATGATGGAAGAAGATCGTCAACTACAGGTTTATGGTGGATGTGAGTACATGCGAGCTTGAGAAGGATTTTTGTTTACTTCTTGGCACGAAGTTGAGATGATTGAGGGATTGTCATGATCACCATTTTTAGGCGTTTGGGTTTACACTATGGGTGGGAGAGGAGAGTGTTTGGCGTTTTCAGACATGCTTCAGATTATCAGGGGCTCTGTGCCACTGGTGGTTAAAAAAAAAAAAGAGACGATGATACCACGGGGACATATAACGGTTAGACATTGTTGTCTTGGACATTTTATAGCGGAGGTTTTTATTCTGATAGCGAAACTTAAGGACAGTCAATTACACCACTGGGCTGCTCACTCGCGTTCTTCGAATTGTCGAGGTATGCAAGTTGAATACAGGTTTTATGCATGGCCTCCTCTTTTTATGCACAGCTTGCTCGAGAAAGTTGATTAACCCCGAGGTTGATGCCGAGTAGGCCAAGATGGGGCAGTGAGTTGACTCGTGACTTGGCAAGTGGGCAGCAGGGCATGTGCGGGGCTAAGCTCGGACTTCCGATTTAAAAGGTGCGAATGCCCCAGCCTGCCCAGCACACTTTCCCACACTTTGTCGGACTCGGTCATCCATGCTCGTCAGCGGCCAGCGCCAGGAAGGAGACATCGAAAGCCAGAAGGTGCCTGTAAGAAATTTTACTGGGAAAGCGCTGCCAATCCCAGGCAACGAGATCGGTTTTGTTCAGTTTTCAACATTCTACAACTCCACCTTTTTCCTTGGGACTCGTTCAGTTGCTGTGGACATTTTTGTTTTCCCTAACAAGACGAATCGAACGCCACGTTTCACATCATTTGCTCCATCAAACCCCTGCTCCGGATCTGCTGGAAGGTTTATCAGTTCCATCAGGGGCCACCAATCTGGGTACTTGTTCCATGGCACGGAAGCACATGAGGCGAGACAGTGCAGCTCCAAACTTCGGATTGAAGGGTTCTTAAGTCGGATATTTATCAGATCGATTGATAGGAGGACAGACAGACAGCAACTGGCAGAGAGGGCTCGGTGATCGGATACATACACGTCCACAGCACAGTTACCAAAGCACACAAGCTCATTCTCCGATCCTCCGGTTCCATATCCGACAATCATTTCATCTTTCCCCCGTTCCACCTTCCGGCTAAACACCGACAATCATTGACTGCACGGAGCAGACCCTGTCCTCCACATCACCCACTTCAACCGCCTTAGAGGGCTGAAGGGCTGAAGGGGCCAAGACCCACCAAAACCTCGGCCGTCTCCGAGTCCAAGCTCCGAGCCCGCCCTCCTTTTTACTCTCGGACCTCCGCCTGCCCTACTCCATCATGTCGGAGCCAAGTAGGGGCAGCATCGAACCTAACAGTGTCGAGCGCAGTGTCGAGCTCAGCCACTCTCCTGCCGCTGGTGATAAGCGCGAAGCTGTCAGCCGAGACCGGGACTACGACTCTCATGAGCCCGACGACCATCACGACGGCAATGGCCCGCGGCCGCCCCCAAGAAAGCGCCAGAGAGTTCGTCTCTCATGTCTAGAGTGCCGCAGGAGAAAACTCTCGTGTGATCGGGAGTTCCCGTGCTCTCGCTGCATGCAGTCCGGCACCCCGGAGCGGTGCGAGTACGAGACCCGGCCCGGCCTGGCGCCTCCGAACAAGCTCGGCCTGTCTCATTCGGCCCTGGCCGGCTTCGACTCCCGACTGTCGTTGCCCAATGGTGGCAGCGGCGACTCGTCTTACTACCGCAAAGATGTTCGCGAGTCGGAGAGGATCCGTCGTCTCGAGCTGGAAATTGCCCAGCTAAAGAACATCGTGCTTAAGCAGCACCAGAACGGTTCACTTGATGGTAGTACCGTTACGGACAACTCACCTCCCGGGCAGAAGCTTCACAATGCCCCCGGTGAGGATCAAGAAATTGGGGCACAGTATGGGTATAACCAGTTCGCCGATGCTGTTAATGACGAGGCTAAGGAGGAGCTCCGATTTCTGCGTGGCAAGGAGTTTAAGACACGGTATTTTGGTCCACACAGCGCATCCCGCGCTTTCTCGGAGGTATGTGCTGGAGTCGTGATAGTGAGGAATTGGGTTGTAATGCTTGCTAATCACGTATCTAGCTGGCCGGTATCGGTCACTTCATGAAGGAAACATCCGAAGAATTCTTCCGCCCGTTTGCCATCCCCAACACAAAGGATAGGCGACAGCGTGCAGAGGAGAGAGAGATCATGTTCCATCAAGCGGACGAGTCGCTCGAGTCTTTGCTGCCGTCCAAGGAGAAGACGGATGCCCTTGTGTCCATTTACCTTGATCAGTTCGAGCAGATTCATCGCATCGTTCACATTCCCACCTTCCGCAGGGACTATGATAAGTTCTGGGACCCTGCTCAAACACGATCTGCGTCTTTCACTGCACTCATCCTTGCCATTCTGGGCGTTTCCAGCTGTCTCGGCTCACACTTCCCCCAAGAGTTTGACAAGTTGATCAGTCGCTCACATGCTGATGCACTCAAGTGGATTGATGCCGTTGATGAGTGGCAGCAAAAGCAGAGTCAAAAGCACCGTCGTCTCATCCACTACCAGATCTCATGTCTAGTGTACCTCGCAAAACGCGTCAACACCGTGAAGAAGAAGCGGTTCTGGAAAGCAGCTGGCGCCATGTCGATGGATGCCATTTCGGTTGGTTTGCATCTTGAGCCCAGCCATAACATTACCCCCTTCAACCAAGAACTGAGACGCAGGATATGGGCAACCATCCAGAGCTTTGATCTGCAAGCGTCTTTTGATCAGGGCCTTCCCAGCATTCTCAGCGCGTTACACTTCAACGTCGAACCTCCCCGCAACATTGACGATGACCAGTTCGACGAAAACAGTAAAGAACTCCCTCCTTCCAAGCCGCCCACCGAGTATACTTTCTCCTCGTACCAACATCTCAGCCGACAAAGCCTTGATCTCCGTCTCGAACTTATTCGCGTCCTCAATGGACCGAGCGAGAAACTCGACTACGACCAAATAATACGCTACACCAACGAGATCAATCAGGAGATCGACTCGTTACCCTCATGGGACGTCACTGAGGGCGACGCTCCCACCGGCGTGTTGAAGAAACCTCTTCTCGCCTACACTCTCCTGCACATCCAGCTTCGACAATTCATCATCAAGCTCCATCACCCCTACCTCAAACTCCGCAAGGACAACTCGAAATATCAGTACTCGGAGATAATCTACTACAACGCTGCGCGCGACATGGTCCTTCTCAACGATAAGCTCGCCCAGCAAGGCATCCGCACCCTCAACTACCTCCGGGAAGACTGTCTCACCCTAGCCATCAACCTCTGCAGCGTCACCATGCTTCAGCCCCGCGGCTCTACCAACATGATCATGATCAACTCTCAGCACACGCTGCAGCTTCTGGAGAAGTGCTTGGCTATAAAGGAGGATCGCATACTTCGTTGCGGCAACAACGAACCGTGGGGATATTCGATCATGTGCGCAGCGGTTGGCTTGTTGGAGGCACATCTGGGCGTCAAAACGACGGAGCTAGCAAAGGCGACGAGCGCAGAAAGGTTCATCAAACTGCATTGCAAGCTGGTGCCGATGGCGTCTGGAGGATCGGGTGGGTCTAGCGACAGCCAGCCGAGCAGTAGTCAGGAAGGCGGGCATCAGTGTGGTGCTGAGAAGCAGGCACCAGACACGGAGAGGCCGCAACAGCAGCAGCCTGGGGGACAATCTGGAGGAGATACCAGTAGGGGGTCTGCGACGCCAGTGCATGGTCAGCAGTTTTCTTCTTCTTCTGGTGTCTCTAGTGTTGGGGGGAGTAGCAACAAGGGGGCGCCGAACGGTCTACCGACGCCTTCCAATTCACAGTTCATAAATGGGATAACGTCGGACTTTTTGGCTCAAAGCCGGCTAAGGGTATGTTCCTTGTCCTTTCCCGATCTTTAACACACATGAAAAGCTAACTGTCAGATATTCGATCAGCCCCCCACACCCTTCCTTCACCCCGGAAACGCGCAACAGCAACAGCAACAACAACAGCAGCAGCAGCAGCAGCAGCAGCAGCCACCACAAGCACCCATGCCGCCACCATCTGCGCTCGGCCCGGCGGTCGATATTCCAAGCTCACCGTGGTCGTCCATTCCCGGTGTGGGTCTCGGTGCTGGTGGCGATTGGTCTGTTAATGGGGGTTTCCAGTTTGTGAGTATTTCGCCTCAGCAACAATTTACCCATACATACTTTTCCTTTTTTGTTCTCATCCTTCTCTTTCCCATCCTTGGTTTGCGCGCACAACTTGCTGATCAAATACAACTCAAAGCAGCTCAACAGCATGAACGCCGAGTTCGACATGAGCCAGCTCGGTGCTAGCATGGGCGAGCTTTGGCCATCTGACTTGTGGGATATGTAGTCTTGTAGTATGCATGGAACGTATTCTCTGAAAAGGAAACGCTCGGGCAACAAACAGGATGTATGAGAGGAGCTGAGCAACGACCAAGCGGAGAGGATGAACTGGGGCACGATCAAGAAAGGAGGGACTCTGAGTGATCGATTATCAAAGAAAAGAACTGAGCAACAAGCAAGGGGGAAGGGCCGCGGGATTGATACTCAAACGAAAGAACTGGGCAATACCAAATTTTGGAAAGTCGAACGGAGGAATCACCAAGAGAAGGAGGAATTGGGCGAACAAATAATCGCGATCGGATATTTAGTAGACAAGTGCCCAAGAAAAAGGTAACATACGTATGCCTTGGCTTAAAGAGGAGGGAGACATGGATTGAATAAGAACAAGCGCAATGGATTATGGATTATGGAAGGAGAAAAAATCGGCGAAGAGAAAATTGGAGCGGGACAGCGAACAGGGAAACGGAGAAAAATACAAACAGGAAGAGAAAATACGTTAGAGACGATGGATCGCACCACACAAAGGGGGAAGGGAAAACAGGCAGCTTTAGGATAATGTATACTTTGGAGTAGTGGCCGATAACAAGGAGAGGGTGCAAAATTATAAGATGCGTCTTGTATTGTAGTACTTGGGGGTTGTGGTGTGGTTCGATTGGCTGGACCTTTCCTCAACCTCCTCTTCATTAAAGAGGGGGAAATTTTTTAATGGGACAGCGAAATATTATGGGACAATCTGAGCTACAACTAAAATACTGAGAAAGCTGTTAATACAGCAACGCTCGCGAACCAAACAACTACGAAACCATTTTTTTAAAAAATCTACGAAAATTTTAGAGTTAAAAAAGCTTTCAAATAAGCAATTTTTTAATTTGCATCAATTTTAGCCTAGGTAGAAAGAAATAAAAGAAGAAAAGGATTCGAGTTGCACCAAATTTTAAATTGATAAAATGCGCTTCGCAAATGCACTCATTCGACTTTAGTAGCCAAATAACACCTTTTTATCTACTATACTCTTCCTAATAGAAATAAAGGCCTAAATTTTTAGATTTCGCTGTTCCATTGAAAAATTTCTTCCTACTTTATAAGTAGGGGGTTGAGGAAAAGTCCCACCACTGCATTATAACCCCCAAGTAGGCTATATTCTGAAGATAGAGACTTGAAAAGGACAAGCGACATAATTTGACACGTATACCCGAATAAGGGAACAATTGACTTGACTTTTTTGGTACAAGATCTCGTTTCAATGTTGTTCTTATAGAGAACTCGTCTAACTTGGAAGATGCAACAACCGGGATCCTTCTGACACTGTTCGATATCGTGCGAGATGTCACGGCGCTGGCGGACCACTACATCACTAGGCTATGTTCCAAAAGGATACAAGTAACTGTCACGGCGTAACCAGAGGGCACGTTGTGTACGATTTGATTGACTTGGACTAAGAATAAGAAGCTGAAGAGGAAAGAAATCCCAAAAGGGAAGGCTCGATGCCAGAGCTGGGTTATACCCAGACCACAGGCGACAACCAGTGACAGCCAAACCCGTGAATGGGATGACCCGATTGAACAGCACCCATGTGAATGGGAGCCTTGATGGCGGGCATGTGACATCCCAGATGGTGCCAGCCGTCACAGTAACCGAAGCTGGCAATTCGGTCGCTCAAGTGGTCTTATATAGTTGCGATGGCAGTCGAGAGGCACAACTGCAAGGCTGCCATCACACGAGACATCCGAACTGCCGCTACAGGATCTGGGAGGAGAAAAAAGAAAAGTGAAGATCAGAAGTTGAAAGGAAAAAAAGGAAAAAAAAAAACGCGTGGGAGAAGCCAAAAACACAAATGGGACGAGTGGAGGAAGGGCCAGAAAAAAAAAGGCATAAAAGAATTAATGGTCTCTCCCGCCGGGAATTGAACCCGGGTCTCGAGCGAATCGAACTGATGATGTTCAAGCTTGACAAGCTCACATACTGACCACTATACTACGGAAGATGTTACAACTGTTACTCAGCTGTCGTAGTTGGTTTGTTGGAAACTTGTCCGAATCTTAGCCCTATATAGTGATGCCAAAATACTGCAGCCAGCTAAAAACGGATTCACGACAGGCTGGACACTCGTGTTCTTCATGCACATCGCGTTTTGTAAATCACTATTGGCATGCAAATTGAGCTTGGATAGGGCAGCATCGAAGGCTTGAAGAAATTTTGTATTGAATACAGCATGGCGGCGCAGTCGTGATTGTGAAGTGAGCTAACACTGCACCAGCGCAACTCCTAATGTATGCGAGCGAGTGCCTACAAGCTTGTGATGCGAAAAGATCCATTTCTTGTTTGGCATTTTGCACGTTCCTTCTTCATGGACTTGTGCTTCTAGTTTTCATCTCTCCCCTTTCGCATCGCGCACTTCCCGTCAGCTAAGGTACCTACCAAGCAGCTTCCGCTGTCCATCATCCAGCGCGTTCGTCCATCCGTCGTCTTCAGCAGAAATATCGATCGTTTGAAGTTCGCGCTTCCACTTTCGCCCCCATTACCAAGAATACCTTGCCTAGAATTGAATTTTACCACCACTCGCTCGACTAATCTGCCTCTGAGAGATCACTTTTCTGGGTTTAGATGTCACACGGACATTTGCCCACAGTTCTGGATTAGATGTTCCGAGGCTTAACAGAACCTCAACACTTAGCATTAGCCTTAACTGCCGATGGCGCTGAGCATCATCCTGAGGTTCCCCTTGCATCACGGGGCGAGAGGGCACCGTTAGGGGCATGGTGAGATATGCATTGTTATACGATGTGCATGAAAGACAGGTCAGCCCGTGCATGCGTACGTGCTGCTCCAGTGACTGCTGGGCCACAATGACGACCGGACAGAGGCCGATGCTAGAGGAAAGAAGGAGAATGGGTGAAAAGCACTCAGGAAGATCCACATGAAGACCGCCAGATAGATACCTCGAGGCATTAGGCAACAAGGCTCGGTACGCACCTCAGTACGTACCACACCTCTTTGGCATAAGAAGGCCTTGAAACCCAGCCTTTGGTTGAAGGTTGAAAGGATCAACAAGGCCTTCGAGACCAAAGGAGTTTATCAGCTGAATTGAACCCTTTGTTCCAAGCCCAGAACTCTGCCCTTGTCACATTAGACGAGGAAACCTTCCGCTGGCTGTCGTTTGATGTCTCACGTTCGCGTACGTACCTTCCTTCATCTTCTCCAGCCCCGAAGGTAAAGCGGGTGTCAAACAGTACCTCAAAACAGCCGATACCGTGAAGATCCCAAACGCGAACCTTCACCGTACAGGAACAACGATATCCAGCGCGGCGCGAATAACTCCACCTACAAGAATGCCGATGCCACATCGTTGCTGCGACGTACTAATCGTCCGAGGAAGGTAGGCGTCGCCATCTGCAACCGCTTATCGGAGCTTTTTGCTTCATTCCCAACATTGTTAGTGTTTTGTCATGGAGTGATCTGCGAGCATTTGGGGTACTTTTGTCTTCCCCGTCCTAATTAACCCAGAAGTCTCTTGTTGGTTGGTGTTGACTCATTTGCGTACAATCAACAAGGTTTCAACTTGCGACGCCCATGAACCAGCGGGCGAGCAAGCGCTGTGTTGGCTACATGTTTATTATACAGGTAAGGTATACAACATCAATACCTCAGGTACCGACTGCTTCTCACAACAAACGTGTCTCCAGCCCAAGTCTACAATGCGATACAGGTACCACCGAAAGACAGACGCTGCGCAATATCCTGGAGTTTACTTTTCAGCGTGGTTAGAGTGAGTACCTACTGAAGAGATATTCGTCCTCGCTCTCATATTCGGTCGGTCGGGACCAAAAGCAACATCCGTTTGTTTTCCATGTGCCGAACCGTCATATCAGCCCAGTGTCTTGACTCGACTGATGAAATCTCCCCAGACATACGATTGGACCTGCTGGGTATACCTAGGCATGTGCTAGGAAAAGGGATATCTTGCTCATGTCAACGATGGATGAGCTATGCCATCAAGCAACTTGCCCAGTTCCCTGACATGATAGAAGGACGGGGTTGGGCATGTCCATATCCATAAAGAGCTGTGAGCGAATGTTGGGTGATAACAGGAATGAGATGTCCTATCCAAGCGAAGCCACACTCGCCCTGTCTTCGTGAATGGTTTTTCTAATTATGATTCCAATCGTCTAGCTAGTTCAGTACGGCCATCTGTTCCGACCCCGGGCTTGTACGCAAGTCAGTTTGACAAAGAAAGATCCTCTCTCGACAGCTACGAAAATTTGGCCAACATTGAACACATGCACCACAAACATGCCTTTTGAGCATTGTTCGTGTATCGCCAATGCCAATCTTAAAGCAGGGAAGTAACGTTCAAGCACCAAAAACCATTCTGACGAACCCACCTGTCACCAGAACGATTTCTACCAGGTACCACTCACTAAGTTTCGACACTTGATACTCCTCATGCACCAGGCAGAAATAAACAAATGAGGCGATGACCAAAAAAAAATATTCAACGACTTATCAAAATCAAAAGAATAACTTTGGACGAGCTGGGAATCGAACCCAGGACCTTTCGCATACAGGTGAGTATGCTAAGCGAACGCTCTACCAACTGAGCCACACGCCCTTTGATGAAAAATAAGCGAAGTCTTTTAGTTTATAAACTATGAATCACAAGAACGCTCGTAGTCAGCTCCCGCGCAGCTCTCCAGTCCCCAGACCATCCTCACCTGTTCCATTTTAGGGGTCCCTAATGATGTCCACTTGTGCCATAAATCTCCCTCTGCCGGTAGGCAAGTTTCCACTTCCTCACGCCTTAAAAACTCTTTTGAAGTGTTGTGTTATTCCAAAAGTGTTGAATTATTCCAAACCATCAACTTGGATGCTTCGGTCTCATTTCGGAGGGCCGGCCTAGAGGTAGTCTTCGAGGCCTCCGGATCTGCATTCGAATCTCCGGCCTTCTTTCCCAGTCTGGAATGAAAATCTGGAAGAACACACTGGCACTTTGCAAACGGTCGCCGACGG